CCCAAACCCTAAACCCTCAACCCCTGAAAACCCTAAACCCCAAACCCTAAACCCTGAACCCAAGCCCTGAACGGAAACCCTGGAGAACCGTTGAGAACCCAAGTTCCTGAACTGAACCAAGTGCCCCACAGGCAGAGCGACTAAGTAGGCTTTGGGGTTTAGGGTTTAGGGTTTAGGGTTTAGGGTCTAGAATGTAGGGTTTAGGGTATCGCCTTTAGGGTTCAGGGTTTAGGGTCCTGACACACGTCGCAACCATTCAACCCCTAGCTGTGGTATGAACAGCCCCACCAAGCCTTCACGGCATCCAAAACCAACCCTCAAAACCCAAAGCCCTGCAAGAAGACCTGAACCCGAAGCCCTCCACCCCTGTGGCCTAAGTAAAGCTCAAAGCGCACATCTGATTTAAAACAACATGCAAAAAAAAAACTGAGAAGCCTTTATTTAAAGAGCCCTGTTGAACAAATCCTTCCTGAATCCCAGGGCCTAAACTGATGAGAAACCTTATTTAAGGCCCGCTTTGTCACCCCGGCCGCCGCAATCTTCAGAACCCTAAACCCTAAACCCTAAAACCCTAAATCCGAAACCCTAAACCCTAAACCTTAAACCCTAAAACCCTAAACTCTAAACCCTGAACCGAGCCGCCGCAATTTTGAGGTTCCTGTCCCATGAGGCCGCCATCCGCTCGCCTCGCGACTCGGGAACCGGCGGCTGCTCGACGTCGTCCTGGGGTTTAGGGTTTAGGGCTTAGGGTCTAGGGGTTTATGAGTTTAGGGTTTTAGGGTTTAGGGTTTAGGGTTTAGGGGTTTCAGGGTTTAGGGCTTAGGGTTTAGGGTTTAGGGTCTAGGGGTTTAGGAGTTTAGGGTTTTAAGGTTTAGGGTTTAAGGTATAGGGTTTCGGGTTAGAGGCAATCTGGGTGGTTCTCTAAACTAGGGTCCCTTCTAGGGTCCTTTTTATCAGGGTGCCCGTACTATATTGGGGACCTGAAAGGGGGCCTAACTTAGAGAACTACCCATCTGCAGCTTCGGGGGGGCTTCCTCAAAGGGTGCCCTTTTTAGAGGACTCCTCTAAGGGTGTTTAGAAGGGTTCTATCTAAAGTTGTGGTTTTGACAGGCTTTCTATGTGGGTTTTTAGAGGACTCCTCTAAGGTTTTTTTAAATAAGGGTTCTACCTAAAGTTGTGCTTTCGACAGGCTTTCTGTGTGGGTTTAGGGCTTCTTATTGCAAGGATGTAGGGTTTTAGCAGGCTTCACCCTGAGCCCTTTACAAAGGTTACCGAGGTTGGGTGCTTTAGGGTTGATGTTGAGTATACCCATAGGCCCCATAGTAGTTCCTGTTTGGGGTTACCCTTATAGGATTCTATATATGAACCCCCAAAAGGAACTACTTTAGGGCCTATGGGTTTAGGGTTTAGGGTATAAGGGTTCTACTTTAGGGACGCCGGGTTCTTAGGGCTCTGCTCTAAGACAGGGGGCCCTTAGAAGCAGGACAGGATTCCTACAAAGGGGTTCCTTCAAAAGGGGTTCCCGGTGAAGGTGCGTATGGCTCCGGGGTTTGATAGGCTTTCGAGTTCTGGGCGGTAGGTGTGTGTGTGTGTTGCCCAAAGGGTCCACATATACTACCATTACTGAATGTATGGAACTAGGTCCCAAAAGACAATTTTTGTTATGGTTTTGGGGACCTAATTCCATACTAGTAGTATATATTGTTGTGGTTTTGGGGACTTGCTTCCAGAATAGTAGTATATATTGTTGTGGTTTTGGGGACTTACTTCCATAATAGTAGTATATATTGTTATGGTTTTGGGGACTTAATTCCATAATAGTAGTATATATGGACCCTTAGGGTTGGTGTGCGATTTGGGGAGTTCGCTGTTCTAAGGGTCGGATCTTGGGTTGTGAGGGCTGAAGACTTCTATGGTTGGGGTCTTTGGTTTAGGGTTTTCGGTTTAGGGTTTAGGGTTTAGGGTTTAGGGTTTATAGGGTTTAGGGGGGAAAGTAGGGTTGTAGGGTTAAGGCGGGGTTCACAAGATTCATATCTCACAGGAAAGCTGAGAGTTCTACAATTCGGCTTATATGGGGGTTTCCCAAAATAGGGGACCCTCATATAGCACCCTAAATAGTAGGAGCCTTATTATAAGGACCCCAATATAAGGTACCCCATATTTTCGGAAACCCCCATATAGGG